AATTGGGCGCTTCGCCAGACGCTGAGCGCCCTCGCCGCCGCGCCCCTCGCGAGGCACCTGCCCCAGAGCGCCTCGGGGTCGCCTGCCGGTGGTGGGCGTCGCGGGCCGCCCTCGCTGAACCGAGCTCCCCGCCATGGCCAGTAGCCCCAGCCCCGGCCCGCAGACATCCGCGCCACCCAGGCCGCCCCCGGACTACGCTCCCGCCGAGCCTCCTGCGCCCGGCACTCGCGCGGACTCTCCCTCGAGCGGCGCCGGCGACAGGAGTCCTCGCGCGGCCGCGTCCCCCGCGCTCGCGTTCCTCGGCGCCCCGGACGCCCCCGAGCGCGGCAGCGAGTCGGACGCGGAGACGGCCGGCGATGCAGCGTCGTCCCCCGCGGCCCTGGGCTCCCCCGCCGGCTCCCTGGAGTCCGTCCCCGGCCAGTCGGTCGACTCCGTCCCTGCTCTCTCGGTCGAATCTGCTCCTGCTCACTTGGCCGACATCGCCCTCGCCGACTCCGTCGATTCGATCCCTGCCGAATCCCTGGACTGCGCGCCCGCTGCGGCCCCCGACGGCAACCCCGCTGCCCTAACAGACGCCGATTCCGCCGACGGAAAATCGGACTTTCTCTCGTCGTGCTTGTGCTTCTTCGAGTGTAAATTCGGCATCTGTAAGCTAATCCAGTACTGCAAGTGCTTTCGAAGATGAGGAGCTTCCATCCCCCAGAAGAGACACGGCGACGATAACGATGTGTGTGTGTGTGTGTCAGGACGAGAGATCCGGAGGCACTCGGTGACCGCAGGCGAAAAGCGGCCATAAAGTGTACCCGAACTGAGAAGCATCTTCATACCTTCACGGAAAATACACCATACACCTAAACCCACCTTTGAACACAACTAATACAAGCTCTACACCTCATTAACACCTCGACAGCGACCTCAGCAGAAGCCCACAGACTCCGAGAGGGACGCAGACGCCTCATGTAGACGGGGCGGAAGGGAGGGAGGCGAGGGGAGGCACCGTCCGAGGGGCAGCGGACCAGAACCTCGCTCCGGGCTCCTCGCAGGGCCAGCGGAGGCAAACGCACCATGAGAATTCACTTCGTTCTGGTCACGTGTGTCATGGCGGGCGAGCTGATCCACCTCATCGCTGCCGAGAGACCTGCAGGTGAGTGGCGTGACGTGAAGGTGACGGCGACGAAGGTGAGGTCGCAAAGAGGATGTCAGAGGTGACGGCGGGATGGGGATGTTGAAGGGGAGAAAGTGGCGTCAGAGGTGATGTCCACTTTTATTAGGCTGAGATGTGCAGGGATTTTTAGTGTATTGGCTTGCCGTATTCTACGTTTGTAGAATACGGAAGAAAGAGAGGGAGAGAGAGAGAGGCACGCAGACAGAGAGACAGGCAGAATAGAACAAGATAAAAACTGTAATAACATAGTGGCATAGAACCGAGTTCATCCAAATACAGGTCATTAGGTCGCCAAGGCTCATTAAAGGTACTTACAAAATAAGTACTGTTAGTGCATCAAATGTTCTATATCAATATAAAGAATGATTCTTTAGAAATATTGTTCATGCCGAATGGAAACAGTTACAAACGCTGACTTGCACATACCTGACATTCAACAGGCATGAAGATCCATAAACCACAGACGGCCAAATTGTAGCGAAAAAGCGCTACTGTCATCATTAGCGCATTTAACGTAGCGCTTTGATTAATCCTTAACGCCACAAGTGAAGAGGGGGAAGGAGGGGGTGGGGGGATGGTGGAGGGTAGTGCGAGGGGGTTGGGGAGAAAGGGAGAGGGAGGGGGAGAGGGGAAGTAAGAATGGGAAGGAGGGGGGTTGGGGGAGTGCCAGAGGGAAATCAAGGAAATACAAGAAGCAACTAATGGTAAAATTAATGATTGCCCATCGTAAAGGCCACCAGGGGGGCAAGCCAGCCTTTGTGGGTGCCGGTCCCAAGTCCGGATGAATAGAGAGGGTTGGTGTCAGGAAGGGCATCCGGCTGTGAAAACCCAAGCAAAAAATGATACAGAATGAGCCGTAATATGGAAATCGGTGGAGGAGGCTTATCCATAACGGCGACCCCATATAGAAATGGGAGAAAGCCGAGAAGAAGAAGAAGAAGAAGAAGAATGGAGAGTGTAACACGAGCGAAGAACTATACTAGTAATTTGTTTCCATTTCCGATTAAAAAAAAAATCATATACTATCGATGCTTATTTTAAGGAACGTAATGATGTTGATTTTAGCCAAACTGTAATCGGCTTCCTCGATTGTTATCACAACAAGCTTTATTGAGAGCATAAAAAATGGCTTAATTACCTCTTTTAATTAGCCAGATTGGAGAAAATTTTTGCGTGTTTTGAATATCAGTTTTCAGAAGTGGACGTGTGGTTGCCTCAAAAAAAAAAAGTTCCGCTACTTAGGTAATATTTTAATCATTCCTGTATTTACATGATAATACCTGCCATCACAATGTTGACATACATACCCACCATATATTTTTATTCATTGTAATT